GGTGTGACCAAAAGGGCCAGTGCAGGAGTGTGTGGGGCTACAGCTGGAGAAATCTGACCTGGGGTTTCCCATTTAAGCTAAATCTCTTCCTCTCCAGCAGGGATAAAGGTTAACTCAGCTGTGCAAACTGATTTATATTCAGCCACATGTGGCTGTAAACTGTACTTTTTGTTCCTGACAAATATGAATATGGTATTTGCTCTGAAAATTCACCGTTTCTCATGCAAAAACTTTCCCCTTGCCATTTGTCTGTGAGATGTTGAATTTTGCTTGGCAGATGGACAGTGCAGGAGGGTGGCCAGGCTGTGTGGAAAAGAGTGAGTGCCTGGGACATGGGGTATCCTCTTTTCCTCAGACAACTTGTACAAGTTTTACTCATTTAATATGGTGAAATGTAAATGTGGAAAAAAATTATATGTATATATATTCTTCCAAACTGTTGAGCGCGAAGGGAAGACATCCTCCAGTGAGAGGGTAGGCAGGACAGTGGTGGGTACAGCCAGTGACAGAAACCTTGTTTCAAGTAATTTTCCGGCTTGGATATTGGATTTAAATAAGGGAGCTGTCACGACTCAGAGCTGTTACCCAAAGCTATTTTTTCAGCTGCCCTCCCTGTATCACTGTGTCTTTGCTCTGAATGTAGCAGCCTGGCATACAGTGTTTCCTAACAAACTGGAAGGAAGCACCCACCTTCACTCTGCCGAAGTTTGTCACCAAGAAGCACCCATCATGACCAGCGTGTCTCAGGACTCATTACACAAGTTTTGGCAGCATTAAGACAGGCATATCAGACCTATCTCTCAGTTACCCAGCCAGCTTTGCCACTGATGACAGAGCTACTTGAAATGGGTCCGTCTCAGTCTGGAAGTCACTCAATGAAGGATTTTTCAAAGACTTGAAAATTTGATTTTTAAAAGCTTCCCACTCTCTCCACATTGGTGGATCCGGCACCCTCTTTTTCTGGAATTATCATTTTCGTCCTGTAAGAACTATGAAATGGCTACATAATGTCAGTCAGGCAAACGGTGCTAAGAAAATTCTGCTTGAGCTTGGAAAGCTCTCCGCGTGAATACTTTATGTTGCAATGTCAGAAAATGCATATATGTATGTGTGTGTGTGCATGGACATTTGCAAATCATTTCCCTTGCTCTTTGAGCTGGGAAAATGATGAAGAAAAATTATTAGATAATATTCTGCTGTTGGCCACAGAGCTGTTTTGAGGTTATTATCCAGGTTATTTTATATTTTGAGGTTATTATCGGCACAGAAGAGCTGACATTACATTCTGCCTGTTCCCAAACCCGTCATGTTAAACACAGGACTAAACCACAGGCGCAGAACTGAGGAGCATGGGGGAAATGGAAAAGCTATTCAAGAAGCTGGCAGTTGTCAGTGAGATCTTGAAAAGTGATTTCCTTGGATCCAACAGAATTTCTTCTTTCCCCGCTCCAGACAGGGCTCTGCTAGGAGACAGCTTGGTCCTCTGTGGTTGAACCAGTTGTTGAAATCACAGCCATCTCCTGAACAAGAGAAAAAATAATGAGAACCTGCTTTCAGCAAGCTCTGCTTTTCCAAGCACTGCCATGTGCTGCCCATCACAAGATCAACAGGCAGCTTATTCCAGCTTAGGCCATGAACACTGCCTCTGCCTTCTGGCCCCATGATATGCCCTGATTCCAAAGCCCTCAAACTCATTCAGCAGCCCACTCATACCTCCAAATGTTATTGTTCTTTAGCATGGGGACCTCACCACACTGGTAGAATCACACCTACTAGTTTGACAAGCCCTATTTGAGATGGAATGGTCAAGGGATGTTGAGGGTTTTGTATTAGTGTTTTATCAGACTTCAGTCTGTCAACCCTTGAGCTTCCATTGCAGCAGAGCATCTTTAGGATGTGTCTCAGTGCTAAGACACCATTTTCAAAAGCACCACAGACATGAGGGACTCAGCTGGAAAGCTGGAGAAGAAGTCTGATCTGAGGATGCTTCTCAAGCAGTACACTTATTCAAACAGGGAAGCTCTCCTGATACTGGTACAGCTCTATTAGGAAAGCTTGGTGGTCTACCTAGGCTTGTAACATGAGTGTGAGCTAAGTCATTCACGTCAGTGAAAAGTTTCTGATGTTCTTTGGCTTACCCACTAGATTTCTGCTGGCACAATGCTATTGATCTAGGACCAGGGCTATTTGCAGACCTGACCAACAGTACATCTTTGACCAAGGGGCCAGGAGGCAGAGCCACCTGCTCCAGGCTTTGATTTGATGATAGGCAACATATTGCCTGGGTGAGGGGGAGCAGTGCTCAGGAAAGCAGAGCTTACCAAAGGCAGTTTCTGATTAGTTTTTAGCTCATTCAATATTTTAGCTGGGATTTCTACAGTAGGTTACAAAGCTATTCAGAAGACCTCAATTATGCCATCCCTATGTCTTCACCTTTAATCAAATGGAGGACATTTCAAGGCAGCTGCGTGATAGTGTGTGTCCCTCTCTGTGCCATGGCTCACAAGACCGATCTGGATTAAAAGGGACCAGTGTTTCCCTGGTTGGCTGTGTGGGTGTCCCTGCCATGGCACAACAGGGCACCATAAAGCCACCCCAGCTCTTCCAGCTGCACAAAGAGCCAAGCTCAATCTTGCCCTGCCATATGTTTTTGCTGTTAATCCAATGGAAGTGGCAGAGATGCTGAGGCTGGACACATGGTTTCAGCAGTTTAAACATAAGCCCAGCTATGGTTTATGCTGAAGTCCTGGCCTTGACATAGCACCTGATATGAGGACTTTTGTGGCTGGCATACTTGGTGTCCTCTTGCCACAGAGGTGGCCTCAGCTGCAGCCCTTCAGCAGTCCTTTTCACTCACATGTGCTGCAAACTCTTCTCCGATTATTAGATAAGAGGAATTGCCCATTTACTTTCATTTCAGTTGTGCGTGACTGGATCAAAGGATGTATGTACTCTTTGCTTCAATTATGCATTTTGGTCTAATGTAGTCCAGATGGCTATTTCATCTCAGCCTTTCTATTTATTCACGACCTTTCTATTTAACTTTCCCAAAACAAATACTCACTCATAGGTGTATATTAATTCAGGGACAAGAAGTGCCTCAATCAATATGTTGAGGTTAAGTTTCTATACCACAATAGGTCCTATCTCCATAATTTCTGTTTTTATTACCCCACAGCTAGCCTCAAATATATGAGCCGTTTCTTTAAAGAGTTTACTTTGGCTTTTTCCTAAATTTAAACAAATTACATCTTCCCCTATTATTAGATTTACAATATGCAGATATTATTTCATTGACCTTTCAGTTAAACCCTTCTGCAAACTTCAGCTGAATATTAGTAAATTTACAAAAATACCAAGGAGCCCAAATGTTTGCCAACATGATATTGCACCACCTCTGACCACTGCTTGTGTGTCCAGCAGAGGATAAAATTTGTTGCTGAATTCGAGTGCAATCCCACAACCAATGTGTGAAAGCAGAGTGGAAAAGTTTGAGATACCAACCAGACAAACACCCAGACTTTTCAGTTTGCACCCACATTGTCTTTTAAACTGGAGCTGGAGGTTGGGTGCTGTAAATTGACTCAGATGCTGCTGGTGGAGAGCTGAAGGCAGCACCCAGCAGGATGTGTTCAAAGAGGAGAGTGTCAGGTTTGGGGCTCGGCAGCAAGACAAGCACGTGTGGTAGAAGGGATGTGGGAAGTCACTGTTTAATCTGTCTGGCATTTGATTTGGGCTTTTGGTCCTTGTTTGGATAACGGGATTGCAATTCCTCATGGTACACTTACAATGAGAACATCTGAAACTCGGCTGCATCCAGGCAACAGACTTTCATTTTGGGTAATCTGATTTTAGCTTCAGTGATTAGCTGCTCCGTTGTCAATGGCCAAATCTAATTGTCATTGTAGTTTCTCTTCTGGAGCCAATACAGGCTAATGTCTTACAAGCTGGGTTTTGCTTCACTCCTTCTTTCACAGGTAATGCCTCCCAAGGCATTGGGAGACAAACAGGAGGTGGGCTCGGACCTAAATGTGAGGAAGCTGGTAGAAATCACTGGTCAGTTTTTCTATTGCAGGAAAAGGACATAGTGAGCCATCTTTTAACATTCTGGTCATTAATATTGGCCTGAAAATCTTATGTGTATATAAACATATATATATTTACCACTCCTCACATAAGCATACTTTTCATGATATATATTAGGTGAAGTTTTCCAGAACCAGGTTCTTTGCAGCATTTTACACCCATATTTTTTATGTGACTGCTCCAGAAATCAGTGTGAAATGGGAACTGGATGGGTTTCCAACTTTAATTATAGATTACTTCTTGTTTGTAAAATAGTTTCCTCCAGAGTTTTTTTGATTTAAAAAAATATTAAAAAAAAAAGGGGAAACAATTTATGGCAGCTTTTCCCTCCCCTGCTGACCCTGTTAAATCAAAAAGCCAGTTAGAACTGTAGAGTTAACTTAAGTACAAATCTTTAGCCTGGGAGGAAAAGGAGACGGCAATTGTATCAGGACAAGTTTCTTCTAATGCCACTTTCCTTTTGGCTGGACTTCTGCACTGAATGAAGCTTTAGGTTTATCTCCATAGCCCAGCTTCCAGGCCCACTGGCTGCGGCTGCGAGAAACTATTCCAGTAGCTTCCTTGGTTAAAAACAGAAATTAAATGCCATGATGGCTTGGAAGGGCAGATGAAAGACAGCCTTCTCTGTTGTGTGTGGTGGGATAACATTGCTAGCACCACATGAGTATAAAACAACATCCATACAGTGCAGCTCAACAGCCTTTGGACTCTCCACACATGGAGCTCCCTTTGGGAAACCCTTAAAAGCCGGTTGAAAATCATGCCCAGTCCATGCTTCAAAGAAAACCCCCCACAGATGCACGTGAGAAAACAAGCGCTTTCCAATGAAATGACCTTGCGCTAACTGGAAAGGTAGGAACTGTACACAGTCACCCTCAATACAGCAACCTACAAGTTTGTCCACGCAAATTAAAGTCCATCCATCTGTCAATATTTCTCCAGTTTCTAGGCCACCAGCATGCTTGCTTATCCCCAGCTCCAAGCCATGCCAGCCACCGCAGGCAAGCACATGCAGCCTGCAGTGCTGGGATGGATGGAGGCAGGACCTCTGGGTTGGACACTATCCCTACCTGCCTGCTGAGGTTTTCTGGGTACCTAAACTGCTCCTACACCACTGCTGATGAACATGAAAGAGGCCTTTTGTTGGTTTATGATGGTGTGGGTAAGGCTGGGGCTTGCCATAGGTCCTTGGACCCAAGCAATATCTTCACCATCAGCTGGGGATTGCTCCCCGCACTCCCATAGGTCCCCCGTGAGCACTGGCTGCCATGGGCAAGGGACCATCAGTCTTAGTAGTAGCATGTGCAGAGATGGTGTGGGAACAAGAGAGAAGATACGGGATAAGAAGATACGGGATAAGGGAAGATAGGGGATAAGGATGCTGGGGAGGGACTCTTCGTTAGGGACTGTAGTGATAGGACAACGGGTAACAGGTTCAAACTTAAACGGGGGAAGTTTAGATTGGATATAAGGAGGAAATTCTTTCCTGTTAGGGTGGTGAGGCACTGGAATGGGTTGCCCAGGAAATTGTGAATGCTCCATCCCTGGCAGTGTTCAAGTCCAGGTTGGACAGAGCCTTGGGTGACATTGTTTAGTGTGAGGTGTACCTGTCCATGGCAGGGGGGTTGGAACGAGATGATTTTAAGGTCCTTTCCAACCCTAACTATTCTATGATTCTATGATTTTGAGGGCTAATGAGATAGTCTTTCCAAAGAAAGGACAGGGAGGTAGTTTCACCCCAAACCCCCCATTGGCAAAGGACTCAGCAAAGAGCCTTGGCTAGAAATACAGTCTCTGGCTTGGCTTCAGTGTAACTGTGCGTACCCTGGGCAGTACAAATCCTTTCAGTTGCTGTGACTACAGGAAGAACTATTAATTAGTCAATTTTCTGGGTAAACAATAAATACACATGTTACGATAAAATCCAACCACAAATTTGCTGGTTAGAATTTCTGTCCTTTAAATAACATCTCTGTGAGCATGATTTCCAGATCCTTTCCCAGACTTACCCACACCAAACCACCCAGCATTTTGGAGGGTGTAGGTTTGTACAGGGCCAGCAGCACAGGAAGAACAGCATAACATTTTGGGTTACTCTCACCAGTCCCTGCAAAAACAGCTGAAATCTTCTGTAAGAACTTGTATTACAACTGTTTGATGCATCTAACGCACACACACCTGTAATGATCACATAGAAATTTAATAACATAAATGGTGTTGAAAAGAGGAGTCAGGTTTCTTACTATTTGCTGTTATGCATCTTATCCTGGATTGACTTTTCTCTATTGCTGTGATTTTCTTCCCTGTGTCTTAACTAGGCCCCAGGGGCCATCCTTAGCCAGACTGCTGACAACTGATTTGATTGATGTTATAAAGATGAACTCTGAGGGGTCTGATGGCAAAGCATGAGCTGTCTGGAGCTGGCAACCATCATAAAGTACCCCACTGAATTTTCCTTTTCTATTTATTTTTGTAGCTTTAAGTGACGATGTTCTCATAAGTGGATATGTTTTGGACAGCAACAAGATGCTACAGTTTTGAGAGTTTGTTACTGTTTTTAATAAATGTCACTGTAATGCCAGATGAGAATTTAACTCATGGCTAGAAATCAAGAGGCCATCAGTTCTACACCCAGCGTGGCCATACAGGCTGAGTCAATTCTTCTTCTGGGTACCTCTATGTGGAATAAGACAGTGTGAGTGCAGTGCTAAGGAGATGGAGGCAAAATAAGCCATTAGGAGCCATGTGTGGGGTGCTGGGGAATGGACTCTGTGCTGGGCCAGCTTGCACTGAGGGCAGGTTTGACTTCTTCTGGCAAGGTGTTGGCTGGAGAGAGCAGCATGTGCAGGTGACATTGAGTCAGTGGTGTTACCCACTCCTCTGGCATGAGATCGGTATCTGGGAAGTGTTAATTCAGCAACCGAAAATGGCTTTGTGTGAAGGGGAAGTACACAGAGAGCTTTGAGTAAAAGGCACATGACTACAAAGGAGGGTGATTACTTCCGAATTGTGAAATAAATGAAAGTGGCTTGTGTATTGTCTTGCTGTGGTGGTACTTACATCCAGCAGTTGTAGAGCAGCACTTGAGTTTCCTCTCTGGAAATACGCCATAGACCACAGGAAATTGCTAAGTCTAAATAAACAGGCTTATTAACTAAATAGGAAAGTTACCAAGTCCGGACTCCTTATGATCACATTTTCCACTGCATTCTGGTAACTGTTTGAAACTTGGGCAAAAATCCTGACTCTCCAAATAGCTGGAGCCACGTGGACTGTCCCTGACTTGAGCACAGTTGCACGAGAACATAAAGAAGGACCGAAGCATTGACTCATGAAGCCTTACTAGTAGATATCTTTCCCAGCCTTCACAGTGTGGGATCTAAGATGGTTCTGACTACCCAAAATTTTGGATTGCAGCTCTCCTATTTCCTTGCCATTTTCTCACTTCCCTTACCTTGTTATGGAGGCTAACTTCACACTGCAGAAGGAAATTGCTGCTGGCAAGTTGGAATGTGGTACTTGTCATGTGCCAGAAATTGGTGCAGCTAAGCATGCCTGTTTCTGGGATGCCACCAAAGTGACTTGACCCACTTTGGAAATGCTGCAGGTAGTGGCAGAATTGTATTAACTTAATACTGCCATGAGGGAAAAACGAATACCAGGGAGGCAGGCACACGAGGCTGGTAATATAAACTGCTGCCCATGAGACATATTGGAAAAATATCATGCTGAAAAATGTTGTTTTAAAGCCATTTTATTCATTGGTTTCTTCACTGGAAATGTGAAAGAAGTGAAGAAAAATACCCTAGAAATAAAACAGAACTAGGCAATACGTTCAGGATTAAGAGGGAACCTTTTGCTGCCAGAGTGGGCAAAGATTGACTGAACACCATCTTTAAAGGTTAGTATCTGAAAACAGAACTGGCCGTTTTTTGTAGCTCTGCACAATACAAACAGGAATTGTCTGTTTGATGCTGCCAGTGGTCCTCTGGGAGCACAACTAGTACTGTACAGATGGAAAAACACAGAGCCTATAGCTTCCTAGGAATGTGGGACTCCCAGGTAAGAGAGAAGTGTCCAACAACTCGTTAATGTTCTTTATGAACTGGATCAAGCTCCATCTTGAAACTCATCAGCTTTTCTTGTCCCCACTGTCCGGACTAGGAAGCTGATCCAATGCCTCTATGTCCTAGATGGCTAGAAAAGGACTTAGAGACGGCAGTTGCCCAGGCCTTGCTTTGGTAGGCTGGAGGAGCCAGCAGCATGTGGGGCAGCCAGAAAGCAGGGTGGAAACACTCTTCAGGAAGCTCTTGAAGTGTCATTTCCCTTCATTACCCAGGACAAGGAGCTGCCCAGCTGTGCCTCATCTCCCCTGACCATGCTCCCAGGTTTCACTTCTCTGAAATCTACAGGGGGGACATGAGTGGTGCACGCTGCCAGCTCCTGCTTCGCAGCAGGTGGGGATGAGCCTGACACATGCACTAAGACACCTCCTGGTCTGGACAAGTTAGACATGGTCTCCTGCTCCATTCTTGCACTTTTTCCAGTCTTAGTTCATCCTTTCAGACTGCTGGTAGCCAGAATTGAACATATTCCTCTGGGCTACCTCTTACGAGCGGCTTGAAAAACAGTACCGAAAATTCCCTTTTCCAATGGAACTGTCTCACTACTTACTGCACTGTCACATTGCACTGATGATTTTGCAGCCTGGCAATAACTGTGGCACCTACATCTTGCCATTCCTCTATTTCTTTTCATTCCTGATTTATTGTAGGAATCCTCATTTATTATCATTGAAATCCCAAATTCTTACTTTTCATTCCACTTGTTTAAGTCCTGTTACTTGTGCCTTCAGAAAAGTCACCTCATTCTCCTCATCCAATATTTCATTCCAACCTGGCAATATTTGGGAGCTATTTGTCACAACCAGACTTTTTAAAGCCATTTCTGTGTTTTCTGTTCTCAGTCTAATCTCTTAGTTTACCATTCACCATTCATACTTTCCTATCACTTACATCTTTTTCTTTCTTATTGAGACTTCTTACTGAGATCTCCTCTTCCTCATCTCAGCAGATAATTCCCCTTGTGTCCTCCCATCAGTTGCTTCACTGAAGTTCAGACAGATGAGATCTGTTATCCGTAAAATTCCCATCATCCATGCGATCAGCTCCTTACTAAAGAAAAATCTCTGTATCTACCATTTTAGTCTATTTTCCAGTTACCTTCATGCTTGTAAATATCTTTCCCCACAAAACGTATTTTAAATAGTACGGAGCCTTCCAGAACTGGATTTTATGGGTGTTTGGGAAATAGTCTGGGGATTATCCAGATTGTTTTCCTCTCTGCTTCCTTTTTAAATATAGGGCTTTCATTCTTTTAATTCTGAAGATGTCCAGTGCTGTTCCTGATGTGAGGATTTACTACAGCTCATCACTATCAAATCTTCACTTTTGCAAAGCAGATCTTAAAGGAAAACTTGAGCAGACTTTGCTCCCAGAGTGTTGCTTCTCCCCTGATACATCACGGTACTTGATGATAATGAGGGCGTCTAAATGATGCAAAAGGTGAACTGACTGAGCATCTTGGAAGGGATGTAGGGATGTCTAGATCCTACAGGGAAAAGACAAGGCACAGAGTGGGTGGGAAAAGTCATGGCTCTGTCAGGAAGGGGGCCAGCGAAGAGGCAGCCCCAGGTCACCTTCAAGCATCAACCGCTCCTGCTCACCGTTCTGTGCCGGAAACTGACGCTCCTGGCTCTGTGCCGTCCCATGCACACATGGCTGAGGAGGGCAGAGCTGAGCCCTGTGTCACCAAACAAGAGCAAGTCTCTGGCTCTGCCAGGGAGGAAACGAGTTCAGGCCTTAAAGAAAACACTGGCAGGTCACTCTCCCTTCGTGGAGAGGAGCTCTGATGTGCAGCTATCT